GACATTGATGGATAATCTCCTAGAGTTCTCCATTTCTGTCTGTCCCATAAACACTGACCGTTCGAAATCTACCCTCTACTACCCTTTTGTGTCCGCCATCACTTCCTGCGCTCTATTTAGTGCTTCCTGTATCTGTTGAGAAATTCGGTGGGTGACCGTTCAGGCGGAGAAAAATCGCGTTGCGAAATGAGGGGATGCGCCGCGAGCGAAAGGAGATTTTTCATGAGTCGCGCAAATCAACAACCGACGGAGATAACTCGAGTAAAGTATCGTTAGTGACTAATTGAATTTTTACGTCTGAATATACGTAAAAATAACGGCACCTTAATTAACGATATTTAAAGATGTATCTAGTCTCAAAATTAAATTTTTAAAGAGGAACATTTTAGTAAGTAGGGAAAATTCTGAGTTTGCACCGCTCGTCAAAAAAAAAAAAATGTAAATGCCGTAGAAAATGTCGACTCGATTCGCCTTTGTGGTCCTCGATTTATGGTATGAGTTCCCTACGGATCAGAGCTGGCGTTATTGGCGAGCATTTTAAAAAGAAGTCTGATACTGACGCGTCTCTTTCCACTTGAGAGAGAGGGAGAGCGAGAGAGAGAGTGCGGAAGAGAAATGTTCCACCTGACTCTTACTTGCAACGTGGCTTGTCGTCAGAGTTAGATATTAGCATAATCTTCAAAAATTTGTATGCAATCCTAAAATTGTATTTTTTATTTTAACGACACATCATGGATCTATCATATATAATGTCTAATCTTTTTTATGTAAAATTAAAACGTTAGACAAAATCTTGCATATAAAATGATAAAAAAATCGATAGATATTCTTTTTTGCAAAGAATATGCATCTGGCGGAAATTTTTCGTTTTTTTTTATTTTTATTTTTTGTATATTTTCTTTATACAAAATTAATTACAGTCAAAGCAAAAAGCAAGCTTTTATGATTGGCATATCTTTCTGACCGCCATTGGACCGCGGCTTTAACGTTATTAAAATTTCGATCGACCGATATCGAGAAATTATACGTACGCGTTGCGCGCGAAACTCAACATGCAAGACTAACGCGTGATGATAATAGCGAGTCGGTTTTCACGTGGATGGAATTTCATTTTATAAGAGAGACCGTGGAAATAATTGAAATTCCGACTTCTCGCTATTCGCATAACTTTCCGCTACAGTAGGCGCGACGATTTACACGAATATGCACATCTCATTGTAACAGACGCACTGATCGCGGCCTATATACGCATCGCGTAGACAAGTGACGCTGTTTGTCGCAAAAATTAGTCCCTTTTAGTATGCGCGATTGTTAGGTGAGAAAAATGCCAGAGCCGTTATGTGCGACTTTCGTTCGGAGTTCTGTCACGAATGTGTTTACGACTGCTCGTTGCATCGGTCGGCTGAACAAAGTTTTGCAGGACTTAACTCTGGTCGCATTAGCCATGCTACAAGTTCTACATTGAAACAAATGCACATCGATTTGCGAGTGTCTGTACCTTTAATGGCAATCCTCTGTTTCGCGGGTAAGAAGTAGAGCCTTGAATCGAGAAAAAAAGCGATAAAAGGCACTGTGACATGATGTATGGTCACGGAATGCGCTTCTTGCTACAAAGATCAAAGAGTTTTAAACAATGAAAACTTTTGACAACATTCATATTCTATTCTTACGGAAATACTAATAACATTAGTAAATACTAATAACATATTTAGTAAATGCT